TTTCGAGTGGTGAGCAGGGCACCAAACAAGGTATTTAGAGCAGGCATGTTTAGCTCGAGTGTTCCATGTGCAAGCACCGTGTATAGCGAGCGATTATTTTAGGAGGCTGGTAACGTCTACGAAGCAAAAAGGAATAGGCTGTTTCAAGATCGTGCAGAGAGCCTTGAGTCCCTGCATCATAATTTACCTTTATTAAATTTTAAATATTGCTTTTTTCATTAACTTTTTCCTAAATTTATCTCATTACTACTCATTCATTATCATTATTGTGAGCGCCAAAGGCTTCCCAAATTATTATTACATACTTTCTGATTAACACTGTTGTTTTAATTATATCGATATATCAAAATATATTGCTTTACTTACACCGAGTATACTCGGCATTAAAACCGAGTTATTCGGCCGTGTATTGAAAAACACGCCGAGTAAGAAGAGTATCGAGTATTAACAGAGTACTGACATATTACATGTACATTTACAAAAGGTTATGAAATTGACATTTTCAATTAACTTTTGGAAAATCTACAAACAAACTGTGCAACATTTTGGCGTCAGAAAACAAGGAAAATTTGATCACGAAATTGTTATTAAAATATTGATTTATATCAAAGAATAATTTTATGTACGAATATGTATTTTTGTGTTTGAAAGTTACTTTTGATAGGATTATGATTTACCTAATACCTATTTTATAACTGCCACTGCTATGTGCCTATCACTAATTTATATTGAGAACCTTCAAATGTGAAAGTGGTTGACCTTAACTGTGTAGTGGCTGTATAAGAATGTATAGGTAATGGCGGTTGCCAACGCCTGCCAATTATGGCAACAGTGGCAAAGTATATTGCGCAAGTGAACTATGAGTAATATACTTTCAGGAGTAGAGTTTTGTAGGCTGTAATGGAATGGAATGGAAATGTAAACATAGCACAAAAAATACATAACTGCTTTACCCGTCTGTCTCGCTCTGTCCGGGCTTTTCTGCGGAATGGCTGAAGAGGTTTGAATGACATTTTTCGTACAGATAGAGAGCAGTGCCAGGAGTGATCTAGGCTGTATTGTATGGCTGCAAAACATGGACACTTAAAAAAAATTAATTATCGTAAATCTAGACATCTCGCTCGTATTTAAATATAATCAGAATTTCACAATTCACAAGATCGAAGATGTTAAATAATTTTCTAGTAGCTACACTTTCACTGTTGTATTCCAATCTGAAGGTTACAGAGAGTCACCAATCACAGGCTATTAGGTATCCTATCGTAGTCGTCGAGAGTGATAATGCATTGTAGTTGATGGAACCACGCTGCAGCTCTGTTATAGCTGCAGCACGAATGGACTAGCTCAATCTGGAAAGGACCACGCTTTCATAGAATACCACCGTAAAATGCCTTACAATGTTATGGTACTACTTAAGCTGGTGTTTGCTAAGTGTATGGAATCGGAGACCATTTTTACCAGTACCCAAGAAATGCATCTTTATCCTTAGAAGACAGCATATAAACACTTTGCGTTTTAATTGGTGATAGATGCAATGTGGCTATGAGCTATAATAGCATCTGTTTATCATCAGGCCCGTTGTCTGACTTCTAGAAAAATAAATTCTTATTGAAGTTAATTGCAACAAATATGACAGCCTACATACGTCTTTCTACTGGGCACAGGCCTCCTCTCACTTTTCAGTGAGTTTTAGGGCAAAGTCCTATACATACCATATATAATTATTATAATTATCCTATTATATATAATTGATTTCTTGGAACTCTAACTATTTAGATGAAATTGTGTATTTTGATAACGTTTCAAGTTTTTTTTTAAATAGAATAAGGTGGACAAATGTGCATACAGTCCACTTGATGGTAAGTGGATGCTGTCGCCCATAGACATCTTCATTTATTCTCGATTAAGAATCAAAACGCAGATGCATTGTAACCGCTAATTACTAAGATGGAATGCCGCGTAAAAAGGGTTTCGGGATCTCTTACTTACCATAGGAAACACAGCATTATTGAGCTGCTATTATACGCTGGTATTCTGTGAAAGCGTGGACCTTTCCCGATCGAGCCGACCCAATCGTGCTACAACCGTAATATAGATACAGCGTGGCTCTAACACGTATAGATTATTTGTATTCCTTAGAAAATTGCATTTTTTCCAAAGCCAACAAAGTTTGGTGGCACGGATACTTTGTTAAAAAAACAAGTAGCACTTTTTAAATATTTCAATTGTGGTTAATTGTGATCGTATCAAGGAGGTTTGCAGGAGATACATCTCACAAAGAAGAGAATGTCTAAAGTACAAAACTTATTTCATCTCAATATACAACATGTTACAAAGACCATGTGATTCCCGTTATGTGCGTTATCAGAGTCTGTATTTATACTTATAGAAATAATTTTACTCTAGAAAATTTGATCATTAAGTGGTTACCGTATCGGTAACGTTTTATTTATTTTTATGTTTAATTAAAACAAAATTCTGCGGTTTCAAATAAAAATAATAATGAATTTAAAGTCACCAATAAAGAAAGTACAGTGACGGCACACTGACCGCACTCACACCTATTTTTTATCTGTACCTATCCTTTCCTATAATATTGACTTTAGTAATTTCATTACTCATATTCCTCTTATTATGTCCTCGGCGCACATTTAATTTAAACAGCCTACAAATAATTGTTCCGGGTCTGGATGTTTGTCCTTGTGCAATTTATGTTTGTAAACTGCCTCCACGATACAGGAGAAAATCCTAATGTGGTGTGTTATAACGTTTAAAAAATATATAAAAAAGAATGTGTCCTTGTGTGTCTATTAAGATTATAGGAAATACTATGTTTGCAATTACGATGTAACTTTGAAAAAAGGCATTGCAACTTTTAATAAAGCTGCTGATGTTACAATAATATTCAGGTATGAATTTCAGCCAAAGCGAACATTTATGCAAAGACATAAATTTGTTTCTTTCGGGGTCTGGTTGTCAGGTGATTTTACCTGTGTACGTGTACGTGCATCTAATGATCTACGAGAAACCTTTAAGTTTACTTAGAGCAGGGGCAGTTTGGTACGCGAGGATAAGTTAGTGCCTCTGAGCTTGTGTGCGTTCTTCTGGCACAACATGTTTTCATCCGCAGTTGATATTTTTCTTTGAGATTTTAGTACAGGCAGTAGAAATTTTTTCTTGTACTTACATGGTCCACTCAACCGAAGAATACCACGCTCACACCTGATAGGAGCATAAAATAGCTACTTAATATTGCTATGTTTCGTATGGCAAATGTAAAGAAGCAGAAATACTTTTTTCTGGAAACGGGGTATTTCATCTTATTTAATGGTTGTACCATTCTAATTGGACATTCTTAATCAAGGATAGTTGTAGATGCCTATGGGCGACATCATCCACTTACCATTACATGGATTGCGTGTTATCACCCTTATTTTACAAACAAAGCGTTGCCGTAAATGAAAATTGATCACGGCGGCATCGTCATTATATTCAAAAAGCAATATAAATTTTGCCGGTAATGTATTTAACTTAATTTGCACACTTACTTCCTCATTAGCCTGTAAAACTTCTGCTGAACGTAGTTACTCCTCCAGTCGAAGGCAGGATTTACCTCAATCATTACGTTTACAGCAGGCAGTATGACGACTGCAGCACTAGACCTCTCGCACCTTTGATGTGGCTCGCCATCTCCAGTCTCGATATTTATGTCTGGTGTTAAAAGATGGTTATACCACTATCTTAATATTCTATATTCGCCAACACGCCGTTAATTAGCACACATTGAATAGTAGTTTATACGATACATATGTACTACTATTCAATTTGTGCTACTATGATGTGTATATATATGATGAAAAGAAGCCCTTGTTAATTTAGAACCCGGTAAATCTACGAGTTTTTACCAAATTTTATCCAAATCCGTTGAAATATCCTTATGCGTGAAATTGATACACAAACATCCTAAAATCTTTATATACTGTAATGTGTATAGCATTATTACAGGTACAATCACTACAATAAAGGTATTTATAAAAACTATATTTCGCATTATGTCAATTCTCCTCTATTCTATAACCTCATGGGGAGGAGCAGCTAAAACTTTACTGCTGCTACTGGAACGCGCTCAAAGAGCTGTATTAAAAGTCGCAACATTCCGCCCTATCACATTCCCGCCCTGTCTCTTATATAAAATTCCTATAATGTCCTCTCAGTGCGCTACTTATTCGTTATATTCATAACAAGTTACTAAAACAGCACTTTAAAATTGCTCTATAGAAGCGAGGTCACTGATAAAAGACGCAAAGATAAAGTAATTGAAACTAACATTAGAATGTGGCATTCTTACATGAATATTTGTTTTACATTCCTTGGCTCTTTTCTTTATAATCAAGTCAATGCAATTTTAATTGTAAAAATATAACTCGAAATGGTTACAAAATTTTCCGATTATTTTAAGTTAATACCATAAATAAATTAATGATAATATATTTTACCGAAATAACCCTAATTAGTTGGTATGTTATTCATTTGATATAAGAAACAGAAAATATTTGTTAATGTATCTTTTAGCACATCCTACACCTGAGATACAGGTTTATCCTAGTTCAGGTGCCTGTTATTGTAGACTATTTTAAATTAAGACATAATTTATGTTAAATGTACAGTTTATTGCAATAAAAAATATAATTCCTAGTTTCCTCATGAAAAGGTAAAAAATAAAAGCAAAAAAGTCTTTAGAACTTTTTCAATTTGTTTTAAATCGAAAAAATAAGTAGACACCGCCCGCATTCTTTTTCAAATGAACGTGAAATAAGGTCAGTGCTGCTGAGGATTAAATTATATTTTCGTACACTAAACAAATAAAGGATTGTAATCAGTACGGTTCGGGTCAAGGAAACATAATACTATCTATTATGCATACGCGAACGCCGATACAGGCCCCCATATATAAACATAAGGAGCCTAAAAATAATGACGATTTGTGAAAATATCGCGAAATGAACGCTAGTGTGTTGGTTCTTTTAGTGTTATTTCTGGTTTTTGGTAAGTTAATGTGGCCAGCACAATATAAATAGCAAAACACAATTTTTTCTATAAATGCTCATGTGAGCTTACTTCTTACTTGTGTGTGTCTATGTACATACTTATTGTATGTTAGTGTATTGCTCGCTTAAATTCGTTGTTGAGATGGATCTATTTGGTTAAGTATTTCTAAAGGCGTTCTACATAATTAAATGGTTATGGTACTAAGAATAAATGGAATGCTTGTCAAAATGCATAATGGAATATTAGTATTAAGTTTATTTCTTTCTCGTACTTCGTCAGGAAACGGTGTGTCTTGCCTGGAATAGTGGTGTTGGGAGTACTGGTGCTGGGACTAGTGGTGACGGAGTCAGTGCATGCAATTGAGGGAGGGCGGGAGGTGCTCTTCAATCCAGGTAAGACAGATCATTGTATTTGTTTAGCGGAAGGTTGCAAAGAAATTTATATTTTTATTTTTATTATATATTTTTATTTATTTTTTATGTTATTTATCTAAAAACGGGAGATTTGGACACATCTTCTCATCACGTATTCTTCAAAACATTAGAATAGGTATACAACCAGTTCATGTTGCCAGTGTAGATTGGTATTGATTTTAAAGTTGTTAGAGCCATGTTGCTATATTATTGTTGTAGCACGAATGGATCAGCTCGACCAGGGAAGGACCACGCTTTCATAGATTACCAGCGGAAATAGTAGCTTAATGCAGCTGTGATTCTTATGGTTAGTGTTAGGAACCCTTTTTACGAAATTTTTTTTTCGAAACAAGGCATTCTACTCGTATCTTGGTCCTCAGGGGTGACAACGCATGCAAACTGCATTTTGATTCAATGAATCAGGATTGATGTAGGTTTCTATGGGCCATTTGTTACACATATTCTACAAAAAAAAATTAATTTTAAGTTTATTCTCGTGTACTGATAATTTCTTCAGTACCACAATTTTCGCCAAAAATCGTTGTACTAAAATCTTATTCAAAAAGAACTTATTATATATAGACTTTTGAAGGAAATTAAATGAATTTGTTAATAGACTTTTGTGAAGTAAATTGGAATTACGCCAATTTAGCATCTCGAATACGATAATCCTTAAAGTTCCGTTATGAGAGCCACGGCCAATTGTTAAAGTCTGACCAAGTGAGTTAATTTTGCTCGTCGAAAAAGATTGTTGTTTAAACGGAACTTTCTCTGGCATTCAGAACTTTTTACATTTAGGAATGGCGACCCGCATAACTTGTTTCATTAACATAACACGGAATGGAAATAGGTGCAGAAGTCAATCTTATTAATATTCAACCGCTACGTTTCACCCGTAGTTCAGCTTACTTGATTTATTTTATGTTTTGTTTATTCTCATTAAAATTTTTACGGCTCCGTGGCTCTTGGAGCCGCGGGTTCGAATCCACGGAACATGAGTTTGTGTGGCCTACAAATCATTGTTTCGGGTCTGAATGTTTTTCCTTGTGTGATTTATGTCACATATCGCCGTGTGATTTGTATCACAGCCTCCACGAATTAGGAGAAAATCCTAGAGTGGGTGTAATGTAAAGTGTACATTACATCCATTCCAGTAGCCTAAAAACGTCTTCGAATGCAGCGGTGAAAAGTCTCAGAAATATAACGTCACCCTGTCTGTCACCTCACTGCACTTGGATACGTTTCGTACTCTGGTTCTGTACTCGGATAGTCATCATAGCCCTACTGTACAAACACTTCAGCACTTCAATATATAGATGGTTCACTTGGCACCGCTGTAGAGACTGTAGCACAGCCCCAATTTCGATGGAATCAAAGGTTTTCTCATAGACCACATACGCAAGGCAAAGTGGCAGATTGTACTCTTCGGTCTTGTGGACTAATTGCCGAAGGGTATGTATGTGATCTATGGTACTAAAGCCTTTCGGAAACCGGCTTTTTGGAGTAACGGCTCTCGAAAATAGCACGTAGACGCGGCCCAGAAAAGAAATCGGTCACTTGTTCTTCAAGAGAACGTTGTCACCTTTCTTGATGAACAAGACCACCGCACTTCTGATCCATGCGTGCGGAGTATTCTGATCCATACGTGCGGAGTAGTGTCTCCATGGAGGACTGAAAAGTTTCTGAAGGACACAAGTACTGGTTTTCCACCTGCTTTCTGAAGCTCCACTTTAAATCTTGATCTTAAAGCAGCCTTTAAGATCAAGATTTAAAATTCTTTATATATTTCGGAAACATTTTTACGATTTTTAACTCTGTGCTATCAATTTGTGTAATGTAAATATTCTTTCTTTATAATTTATAAAAGATTTCAAAATTTTCTGTATTTCAAATACGGTTAAGCATTTCTTTCTTAAATTACATAGATGACAATATGAAAAAATTTATATTGAAATTGATTTGAAATGGCGTGGGTATTATATATACTTCATCGCTGCATTGGAAGATGTTTTCAAACTTCTGAACTGGAAAGAATACAGTATTAACATCAACGGCGAGTACACCACTCACCTTCGTTTGCCAACGATCTAGTCCTTATGGCAGAATCGCTGGAGGACCTAAGCACCATGCTTAATGACCTCAATAGTGTTTCCTAACGGATAGATATTAAGATGAACATGGAAAAAACAAAGATCATGTGTAATGTCTACGTCACACCTACGCCGTTAGTTGTTGGGAGCACTACGCTCTAAGTAGTTGATGAGTAAGTTTACCTGGGACAAGTAGTCTGACTAGCTAAGTCCAATTTCAACCGAGAGGTCAATCGATGGATTAAACTCGTATGGGCAGCGTTAGGATGATTAAGACACATCTTATCATCAGGCGTAGCTCAAAACTTCAAAACAGGATTATACCAGTCAGTCAGTGATGACCAATGGATCTGAGACGTGGTCCTTCACTGCTGGTCGTATGAGGAAGCTCAAGGTAGCTCAGCGAGTTATGGAGAAGGCTAAACTCGGGGTTTTTCTGCGTGATAGACATAAAAACAAGGATATCCGCAGTAGAACTAGAGTAACCGACATAGCCCATCGGATTAGTAAGCTGGAGAAGAACTTGGTGGATATAAAGTTTCTCAAGGGGCATCCTCGTACCGGTAGCTGAAGTGTAGGGCGTTTCACCACTAGATCGAGTGACCACCTGGTAAGTCATAAAGGAAGTCGATGGATGCAGGTGGCTTAGGACAATGCTTTGTGGCATCCTTGGGGGAGGTCTGTGTTCAGTAGTAGACTTGTAAAGGGCTGTATTGATGATGACGATCTATATGAAGAATCTGGATGTAAGCGATAAACTTGAATAATAAAGTTGCTTCTGACTTTTCTATAGTCGCTTCTCAGGATAAAAATCGGGCGAAATTAAAATGGAGCCACTTGAATTAAATTATGGGTTCGCTACCACATAATCGTACGAAATTCTAATATAAAAATATTTTCCCCTATGTGTCAACTATTATTTAAAAAAATAGGAAGATTTTGCAACCATATATTAATGACAGTATGTAACCCATTCGTAGAAACCCGTTAGCGAAACCCTTTTGTAATGGAACAATATTTAGCGACAGGAGGCTCCCATCGAAACACATCTAATAGGAGTCCGTACACCCTGGCTCCTACTTTCTGGAATGTATTTTTGGAATACACTGACTGACCATTTGGGGTTGAGATTTCTCCGAACCTCAACTATGGGCGGTTCATAAAGTCCAATGCCCTCGGAAGGGTGCGATGGTATTTCACGTCGGGCAACTTCTAACTCTATATAAAGCGCAAGTCTGGTCGTGCTTGGAGTACTACTGTCACGTATGGGCTGGCTCTGCAAAATGCCACTTAGCAGCATTGGATTCAGTGGAGAGACGTGCTAAGAGGCTCATTCGTAACCTTGATTTGGTAGAAACAAAGACATTTAAATAGGTAGTAGTAGCAATAGACCGGACATCAGTAACAAAATTGTCATCTGTAACATTTGTCCTATAGGATATATCTCCGATTTTTGTCATTTAGTCTAAGTGACATCGTCAAAAGGTCAAGACGCATTCATTTTATAAATTTAAAAATATTTTTAAAGACAATATGCCTGGTTGTGCATTAAAGTATTGTAAGTCACGATATGGAGAAAAAAATGAACGTGATTTCGGTTTATAATCGTAAGAATAATGTGTATTTACCAAATAATCTTTAAATTTTATTATTTCTAGTAGATTCGAGAAGAAAGAAAAATTATTGTAATAAGTGCCCTCTGTTATCCAGTAACGTTATTATTTATATACAAATATATTAGTAATTAACGATGTGCCTACAACGGATTTTTACCTTATGTTTAGTAGTGTCACCTACTGGGAAATAGCTAAAATGTTTTCTAAATAAATATTCAGTGTAGTGTTGCTATATTTCGCTAGAGGATGTAATACATGCGCGTGGTCACAGCTTTTGTAGTTGTTGTGTGTTGTTAAAAAAAAAGAAACGTTTTTATGAATTTATCGCGTATATTAAGTTATTTTATATTCACAGCGTTTCGAGCAATTTATAGCAACCATGGTCACGGAAGGACTGAGGTTTCCGTATATACACTTTTATCTATAGACTGACTGTATTCGACGCCCCTATGTCATAGTTAATTGCGGCTACCTCCAGATTAAAATTATTAATTTTTGTTCCGAACTACACATCTTGAAACGTCGGGAATATAAAATAAGTTGTTATACGCAATAAAATCCGTAAAAACTAGTTTTATTTAAATGTGTAGTGTTCGCGTAAATATAAGAAATCGTTATTTTATATCTGGTTCATCTTTAACGTTTTGGTATTTCCCACTAAATCTTGTTCTATCTTTGACAGCTATAATATTGCATATTACACTAACAATCTTGGTAATCGTCATTCATTCTGTATTGGGTGTACAAGAAATTAAATCAATGTGTAGAATTTTTATATAATTCTTCTGTTTCTTTGTTAAATTATAAAAATAAGAGATTAAATACTTACAATAATACGTTAAAATTTTACAGTCAACTGTCACGAAGACAAAAGTAATGAAGCGAAACTACGATTTTACCATGGGTATGGCTTTTTTGATAATAAAATGTTTAATGTTTTATTTTACAATATAATAATGTCAGTTTTTATTTATCTTTGAAGATCCATGGAGGAGTATACGGAATTATATATTTACGAAGCCCAAAAAATCTTTTCTGGTTCTTGGTACAATTCCAGCCGAAACACTGTTATATTTTCGCATGGATTTACCGGTAATTACTACTAAATCATTTTGTAATACTATGTGCGTACTTACAAACAAATTATGAAAATGGCTTGGAGTACATATTATGTATGTTAAGTATACGATGATGTAAATGCTCAATTAGGAGCGATCCAGTTTTAGAATGGCTGTACAACAATTATTAACTATTTAAACTACTTGATTTAAAATGAGGCTATTAAATATCTACAATGACAAAAAATTACTTACAATTTCATATCAAAGAGCAAAGCATAAATTATTAATGTTAAACTTGTTATGTGCACATATTTTGTGAATTTTATGCACTGATAAATTCTTTTTTTTATATGAAACGGAAGTGACAAACAGAGTTTCCGTCTATCTGATGGTAAGTGGCTACCGCAGCTTATGGACACCTCCAGCCAACTTCAAACACAGAGGGTTACAGATGCGTTGTCAACTTTGAGGACAAAGACGTAATATATTACACATTACGTCTTACTGGTGAGGGTAATATGATCATTCGGTTAATATGGTCGCTTTCTTATAACTCAAAAACTACAGCCTTGTTTGCATCGATGACTTTGTGATACGATAGCTGTTGATCGGTCACTCAAATAATAAAGGGTGAAAAGGGCGATGCCTACCAGACTATATGTAGTTAGTATTTTTATGTTGCCTTTTCGAAGTGTTCTTTATTATTGCCAAAGCTTGTGTGATATTATTTTCTTAATATATTAGTTACAGTACACGACTTTGGTTTTTGTTTTCGTCCTTCTCCTACTTTTGGTTTTATAGGGCGACAAAGCTTAAGGTGATCATATTACCCCCACGTACCTTACTTCACAAAACTTCTACATATGCTTGCTCTCTTAAACCTTCGGAGCAGAGCACAGCAGTGCGAGCTATTTAGCGGGTTTAGGTGGTTCTCATCAAGACCAACTACTGAGTAGAATAGGGATGCTACCAAAGAAACATCTTATTTGTAATAAATGCAAATTAGAATAGAGCTCCTTCATTTATTTTAAATTTTAGGTAACTAATGCTTAGTAATTAAGTACTTTGTAGCGAAATCCAGTATTATACGAGTATCGTTAAAATAAACCTTAACTTCGCATATTTTAGGTCGTCCCAACGGACCCGCCGTGACAGCCGTAATAACGGCGTACATTCAAGATGGAAATAGCAACGTAGCCCTTTTGAATTGGCAGGAGTTGGCCTCGATGGCGTTGCCAAGCTTCGCTTCTTCTTACTTAAACTGGGCTGTGCCTAATGCTCGAAAGGTGAATGACACATTTTCTAAAGTAAATTGAGTTTTATTTTTCTTCATAAATACAACACGATCGCATATAAAAGGAAACAGTGTAAAAAACTAAACTGAGCGACTCAGTAATTCTTCTTCTCTTTCAGTTTGTAACAATCCACAACTGGACATAGGTTTCTGGTTATGTAAGGAGTATTTGTCAAAATTACAAAACTAGGCTGATGAATATGGGAATGTTTCTTTTTATTGAATATGAGTAGCAAAGGAACACACAATCCATCTGATGGTAAGTGGATGCTGTGGCCCATAAACATCTACATTTATCCTCAATTAAGAATCAAAATGCAGATGCGTGACTAAGATGAAATGTCTCGTTTCCGTCTTAGGTTATATACAGTCATTATACGAAACAAAAGCTATTTAACTCTGGTATTCTGTGAGAGCGAGGTCCTTCCCTCCCTCACAGAATTTAGAAACCCTAACTAGCTTGCTATTTAAAAAAAATACTGGTACCGTTTTAGCATGTAAATCGAGCGTTTTTTTTGTAGAGAGGTTTAATTAATAAATTTAGAAATATAAACCTGGGTAAGGTTGAAGACGTAACAAAGTAGATGAGAAATAAAATATATTTAAAAATTTTATCTTATAAATAATAATTTCTTTTCAAGTATTAAAACATATAATAAAATTAAAATGAATAAACGTTAGTAGTTTTGATTTGATTTGAAGAAAATTTATTTCTAAAATACAAACAAAACTATTATTTGGAAAAGAGAAAACAAATAGTTTTTACAAGCTGCACGACGAAAACCCCTCTAATGGGAGTGGGACCAGCGCAACAAGCGCTACGCACGACTCCGACTCACTAATAAATAATTAAAGGGAATATTATTATTTCTTATTAAACGTTAGAGTATTATACTATAATTACACCGAGTTTGACTATTGCATGAATTAACATTTTTACGATGTAGATAAAACAAAATACATTGAACAAAATACATTTCTAAAAAATAAAGGGACAAAAGGCACCTCATGTAATTTTAAATATTTTAATTAATGAGAAACTCACCATGAATACATATTCTGTAAACATTTCAACTGACTACCTGTAATGTTTTAAAAGGTACATCCTTTTGAAGGTAGGAAAGACGGATAGCGTAGAAACTTAAAATTTAAAACATTATATGAAGGCCTATTATAACTGTCTAACTGTCAAAATTTACTCTCTCATTCGTAGCCACATACGCCATTGAAATAGGGAAATGAGATCAAATTCATGTCAGTAAAAACGCCTGGCAGCAAATTTTCTTTTTTCTCGGAATTCTTAGTTTTGTAGGTCGATAACGGCCCTGCAAACGACGCGCCGAATTTCCTCAAAAAATCATAAAAAAGAAGAAACGTACGGTGATTGCGACTAACAATAAATAAATGGAAAAATGCTAAGCAAAAATAATAAGTTTGTTAGTGACAAAATGACAAGCCCTCGACAAACACACGGTGTAAGGTCTGAAACTGTTTCTAGATGTTTGTTTACTGCTTTGTGAGTAGTACTTTAAGACAACAGCGAAAATAAATCGATCATCATAAACACAACATAGCCAAAATTGTCCAGGACAAAAGAGCAAATGCTCGGACGTATTAGTTTAAAAAAATAAAATATATATATATTAGATTTTTTTTATATGAGGGCAAACGAGCATACGGCTCGCCTAATGGTAAGTTATTATCGCCGCCCATGAACAGCTGCAATACTATGAGAATTGCAGATGCGTTGTCGGCCTTTTGAAAAGGAGTAGGCTCTTTTCTTGAAGGTCCCTAAGTCATAACGGTCTGGAAAAATCTCCGGTAGTAGTCGATTCCACAAAGAAGTTATGCGAGAAAGAAAACTTCTTTTAAATGGCACAGTGGTGGACCGCTAGTCATCCAGATGGTATGGATGGTATCGCAAGTTTTGATGATGATCAAAGATGTCAAATAAAATCTTTTTAGTGTCATTTAAACTTATTTGTTTTATTATATTATGAGTTTAAATGTTGAAACTATTTAGAAAGATGCTACGAACGTTTGTTGGTATCATGTAACCATCAATTACAGCCTATCAAAGGTCCATTACCGAGCTAGGGATTATAATCCCCAATAGATTGCCGCATATGGAAGATATTCGCCATAAATTCCACGCTCGGCATGCGGTATGTAGTTGTAGGAAAAATTCGTTCACAAATACATCACATCATTATTAAGTTATTTATGTATACAATCCGTATCGCATAAAAGAGTTGCTATGTGCTATTGCTAAGTAATAATTTTCAGGCACCAAACTACTTTACTAACCAACGTAGAAAAGACGGAATATTTTTACAGGATTTGTAAATTTTTATGATAGGTAGCAATATTATTCGATGAACTTAGAGGCAGTTAAAGACGTGACTTGCTTACGATATTGTTATAGTTGATGGATCTTGCATTAATCAGAACGATTCAGAAATAAAGTAATAGACGATATTCAAAATGAAATATGTACTTATATATAATTTATATAATTCGATGTTTTCATCGACTATAAATTGACACTTTTTTGTAAAACGTTAATAAAGGACTACTTTTTTGCAGCTGGGAGTCCGATTTGCGGATACTTTGGCTAACATGTCCGCAGCCGGTCTTGATTTGAAAAAGACGCATTTAATCGGACATTCTTTAGCTGCTCACGTCTTTGGTATCGCTGGCAATGCAATGTCTCAAGGAAAGCAGCCTGCATGGTACGAATTGAGATATTTAACTTAAAATGTATAACTAGAATAAGCAAAATTACGTAATTTTTTTTGTCTAATACCAAAACCGCAGACACGCGGAGCACTTAAATTATCAAGTATAAAACAATTGTGGCAGAAATTTATCCAAAAATGTAATCCCCTAGTTTGCATATGGGACGGGGTGCAACATAAAGTTGTGCGAGGGTATTGGCTCCGCACACTAAATGGATTGCCCAGCCCCACCGTGGTGATATAACAACAAGAAACATAAAGAAACATATGTCAGTCGGTTGTGTATACTTAGAAAGTTGTATATATCGTAGTGGGCTTAAATTGTTGTTATATGTAACACAACTAGGGTATGATGTGAATGTGTCATATTTAATTTCAAAAGTACTAAGGGCAATTTGGGACCTTCTAATAAACGTTATTGCACAACGCTCACAAACACAACGTCAACAAAAATTACAAACAACGAGCAAAATGTTTTTTAATTAAAACCCAATTATATTGTTTTCTGTGACTGTGGCGCTTGTTCGTAAAGTTTTACTGTAATTAATATTTTACCATACCCAGTACCCACGTACATAATTAGATGAAAATGTTTTACATATCGGATATTATACATTAAATTATTTATTATTTATTAACATGAACATAGTTTTCATATAAATAAAAATATTTTATTTACACGATGACTAGCGGATTGACTGGCAGAGAATGCCTAAAGGCATTAAGTCCGGCCTTTGTAATCCTTTTTATGGTGCAATAAAGTGTAAATAAATAAATAAAAGAATATAATTCTTTTCATCACCGCATTTCGTTCTATAAGTGTCGTAAGAGACGACTTTGGGAAATGCTTGATAGATCTTCCATCCATCCATTCCATCACAGCCTATCAAAGTCCATAGCTGGACACAGGCCTCTCACATAGATTGCCTCATCGGGATGATTTTGCCATAGTTGCCATGCTTGGCAGGTGAGTTGGCAACCGCGGTTTTTTATTGTCTTAAGTTGTCATCATCAGAAAGATGCTGTTGCCCATCCTCTGTTTTTATTTCCCGCTGCCGCCTCTTATGACACCCACGTGATGTAGGATATCCTTACACCACCAATACAAGGTATCTTATGGCTTCTGCAATTTAGTGTTATAAATATCTTGCTTACATAAGGTATAGAATACCCAGACGAGCAGTTGACAACAGAGAGCAGCGTCACAAACGCGAAACTTCTGGTAATACGATCGTAAATCCGCCCGCCAAGCAAATCCTTCCCAAACTTATGGACAGCAAGTTGACTTTTACAGACTGATGAGAAAAAAAAACAGATACCGTAAAAGCGTAACATAAGATAGGAGTGAGGCATGTTTATCGTAACAGATAAAGAACAGGTATCTTAAAATAGAGAACTGTAACTGTGGCAAACAAACTGACAGCTCCTGTTCCACGAGATAACAAATCCACTAAAAGATAGTCACAAATTTTTCTTTATTCATACATATGACAATTTTAGATGACAAATGTTACTCTGTTTTATTCGCCACAAGCTCTTCCTTTTTCTAGCATAGGTTCAACACCTTACAAAGAGAAGTACCTACCAAGACTGTAGTAACAGACTACTATTTTGTAACAGGTTTTTGGTACTGTTATTTATGTGGGAATGTGGGACTGGAACTGGCGGAACAGATATGCGATTTCACCTGTTACATCCCACTCCTAGTCTTCCACTCTATGGAGTGACGACTTGGTAAGACAAGCAGGAAGTCGATGGATGCAGGTGGCTTAGGCCCTTGCTTCTGCTTTGTGGCATTTCTTGGGGGAGGCGTATATTCAGCAGTGGTCTTGTGAAGGGCTGTAATGAATGAAGAAGAAGATTATATACACATAACTTACCATAACAATATAAAATAATGTATTTTTAGGAGTAATATATTAAGACTCTGAATCGATCACTTAGAATATTTGACACTAAGTAGGCCATTCACAAAGTTTTGCGAAATTAAAAAAACAAACTTCAATGAAAATCTTTACCAACATCCACAATTTTACACGTCTAAACCAATTTTCGAAATTCTTTTTCCAATCCGTCTCATACTCTTTTATAGCCTGCTCAAACACCGCTAGCGCAGTTTTCGACAATGTAAACAGTATCCCTTGTAGGCGTTGGTTAATTTTGAACGTCGGCTATCACTTTATTTCTGAATCGTACTGATTAATCCTAGATCCATCAACTACAATAATGTCGTAAGCACGTCTGAGTGAGCCTGGTTCGAACTTAGTTATCATCTCAAGACTCCATTCCATGCGGTTCTGTTTGTGAGCGAATCTATTCTCCTCCGAAGGTTTCGTGTAAAATTTCGTGAACACTTCCCGATCCAATTTGTGCACAAATGCGCTGAATTTCTTCATACGTAATTTGCCTAATATCTTGAATTAAATTTTTCCACACTGGAATGTTTTCTTCCTTAAGGGTAGCCGTTAGAGCGACCACTTGTTTCATCTCTCAAAGTTATTCGACCATGCAAAATTTGTTATACCAGCGATACACGGTTGCCTTAAAAGGTCCTTTATCCATCCGTAAAAAATTTGAAGGGAAATTTAAAATTGGAATATTCGTGTTTCACTTGTAAGTTATCGTATTTCCAAAATAAATTTTGACTTGAATTTTACACAAAATTTTATTTTGCAAAACTTTCAGCGTGGTCTATCGTATAAAATAATTTATTAAATATCAAAAAATAGTAAGAGTTAAACTTATGTAATTATATAGATCGTATCGTCTTTTCTTTTTTAGCATTATAGGTCTAGATCCGTCGAAAGTTGCCTTTGAAAACAAACCAGCAAAGCTTAGACTTAACCCGGATTCTGCTTCCATGGTGACTGTAATTCATACGGATATAACAAAGTATGGAACTTCTGAACCCATGGGCAAAGTGGACTTCTGGCCTAACTTCAGACATATGGGGCAAGCTAATCAACCTGGATGCGACCGTAGACCATCTCCGACGTTTTCAATGCAAGGTTTTTACGACAATTTTTTTTTTTAGAGGCTTTGACCTAAATGACCAATTTTTTGTTGTATTGAATTCGTTTTTGTTATTGTTAGAAACTGATTTTTATAAACTGTCTCATGTTACTAATCTGCCTCTACACCGCCATTTAATTGATGTCACTCTCACAAAAATACCGTGGACGCGTATCAATGAATTATTGTAAAACCTTAACGACTGCTAATTCAAAAGCATATTTATTTTCTTTAAATAAGGGGTTCATATTTCGAGAAAATTTTACTTTCTCTCAGGACAATGTTTAGGGAGCGTGGGAGATGTGGGAGAGTCTGCATGATTAACTCTTTTTAATGATCGTAAGAAAATAATGTGAGGGAGGATACTTTAAAAACAGAAGGAAAATTAACGAGGTTTTAGTACCATTTACAACCATACAAAAGTATATATATATATATGTATATATATATATATATATATATATATATATATATATATATTATGTATATAAATATATAATATATTCTCAAATCTATATATATCTCGATATCATATACACTCTCCATATAAATAATGGTGTAACATATAAATATGAGAGTTAAAGTTCTGAAGTTTCCTTCATTTTCACAAATATCGTAAAAAAATATGAAATTGGTAAACAAATTCCTAATATATTGTATTTGAAAATTAATGAAACAATACAATTTAATTTTTTTTGCCTAAACACCAGTGTGTGAAAGTGTGCGCGCAGTTTTTTTAGTGTATTTTTGTTTATTTACGTATTTTCGGAATTTGCGATGTTCTCCTATTCGTTATTTTTAATCGGAAAGTTCAGTAGTTTATCTATTTTATTTTTACTTATGGACACATTTAGAGGATATCAGAAAGAAGTGTGTATAAAACAAAATATCACGGATATTTGTCACAGTTAAGTTTATTGATTGGGATTTTGCCGATTAATTGTTAATTTAAAATTGCAAATGTCGAAGAAATAAACGATCACATGACAAAAATCGGACAAATTAAGAAAAAAATTACACGAAAGAAACATTTTTGTATTCAACATATTTTTTTCCCTAAACGCTTATGGAAGGCTATAACGTGGGCTATAATTAGTAATGAATGTTGCCCCCTCAAGATCTTCAAATAAGGTTTATTTGCAGTAACAATTTACACTTAATATGACAAAAAAGGCAGTCACAATAAAAATTAAACAAAACCTGCTGAATTTAAACTCGATTTTAAAAGCTGGCAAAATTCCGTAAAAATTACGTAAAAACACGATATATAATACGACAAAGATTTTTTATTAACAATTTGTATAAAATTAATAGCATTTGCTGATGTTTGTGGCCAGTAAGCATTTATGTATGACTGTGTTTATATAAAATTTTTACTTGCAACACTTAAAATGTTAACATCAGTTTAGCTCGTCTGTCAACTTTTTACTATAAATAATAATAATTTTATCTAGTCAAACTGAAATAAAAAAAAAAAAACTAAAAAGAGAACTACCAACCCGCCACGAGGTAGTCATGTGCATTGCTGAGTAATACGATTATGCATAGACAATGGATAGACGATTGTCTGACGGAGGCAGAATCTCATTACCATTAACTGAAAAACTACTTCATTGCAATATAAGTTACTTTTATAACAAAATAATATCAGTTTTATGTCCATTGCACGTTATATTACTTTAGTAAGATTATTTGAAAAGTTTTAAGTGTTTTTTGTGTGTAACTCAATAAAAATGTAAATTTCAAGAAACGTGTATAATTTACACCGACGGTTTGGTAGCACATCGTTAAGAATTTTTGTTTGGCCTAAAAGTATTTTCTTTGTATCTGAGTGTTTTTCTGTGTAAAATTAATGTATGTAAATCACCTCTATGGTATAGGAAAAATATCTGATGTAGAAATACCTTTTTTAAATTAAAAATATCTCCCTGATTTACCCGATTGATTTTAGTTTTCTTTTTATTGTGTTATAATATTAGTTTAGTTATTTTGAAACATTCGTGGTTTCGCGCACACTAATTCAACAACTCACCAAAGATTTCGCCGTAATCGGATGAATTAAATATGAACACGTAGAAGAATAATAAACAAACTGACAAATATTATTTTTTACGTCAGACACCTTCGTGGGCAAGCACCAGCAACACACTAAAGTTTCGCCGTAATCATTTTTATACAGGTGCAAAACCTGGAAAAACTAGTTTCAGTCAATGTGTAGTATTCGCGTGAATATAAAAACTCATCATCGTGTCATTGTTTTTAACTGACGAGAAGATTACATATAATTAACATAGATTAATTACAGTGCACTATTATTAAAGCTCGTAGTCTAATCGTGTGCGTTTTACTATAATAATATCTCCCCCGGAGTTGATAGATTCCCAACCCTATGCAGTAAGATTCTACTATATACAAGACATCGCATCCTTCAAACGCTTGAACAGCAATTACCTTCTAACACTATAGGAGTAGATTGTGATTTTCCTACTTTGAACAAAAAAGGGGAAAGACCCCCGAGAAAAACCACCCCCGGAATATACTCCTACTTCCTTCTTTTCCTACAGGAATATATAAAATAAACGTATACTTGTGCATGTACAGTATGTATTTGTATATACGTGAGGTAGTTTATAACGTATTTATGTATATATTACAAATTTAGGTATGTTGAAGTTATTACACATATTTAATGTACTATTAAAATAATACAGTACTGTTTTTTTAGTTGGAGCGCTGCTTATATTAGTTTAGTGTACTTTATTTACTTTATTTATAGGATAAGGGTACCAAACGAACACACAGGTCAACTGATGGTAAGTGGTTACTGTGGCCCATAGAACATCTACATCTCTTCGACTAAGAATCAAAATGCAGATACGTTGTCACCCCTGAGGATTAAAATGGAATACCTCGTTACGAGTAAAAAGGGTACTTGTATTCACATTCTTAAGACGTTTCCCCTAGCGAAAGACCTTGAGCGTTCGGTCCTATACAATCCACGCGCTCTCGCTACAATATATTGCGTAAAAATACGCCCGAATATTTGGAATTATTTCGAATAAAAAAGATAAGCGAAATTAAGAAGTGAAATAAAACGTGTAGAATATAGGTTTTTAAATTATCTATCCATTAGTGTAATCCTCTAATGATTAGAGCGTTTCCTTTAGCAACAGATGCATGTAATCAATAATTTTAGTCATTTTTTAAAAGTGGATTTTAAATGTATTCGTAACACATAAAAAAAATTAGAACGTGGAATGTGATGATAGAATATGCAACATTAATAATGTGCTTTTAGATGTAGCTTATTTCTCTGAAAAACGCACTTTTGCAAGGTTTTGGTCAGGGTACCGCCTGTACACTGGTAGAAAATGCCTGATAGCATTAAGTTCGCTTAGGGGCGCTTAGTGAAAATTAAAAACAAGAATGCATTTAACAAATTAAAAGCACTTTAACTTACAAACAACAACTTACTGTTAATAGAGGCTTCTTTATATCAGTACTTGTGGTTCGAAGCGGCGGTGCAGTCACTTTTTTATTCCGATGTTAAAGGTAAAAATAGCAGAATGATTACAGGCTGTAAGGCATTCCATTTAAAGTCTGAAATAGTATGCAACACAATTACATCTGTTTCTTCAATAATGACAGTGTGTAGGTTTCTTTACTTAAAGTTAGTTATAGGTGGATATAGGCAAATATATGTATATGTGTATATAAACTAACTAAATCAATCAATTAAAATCTATCGTATATAGTATATAATTTTTATATTAATATTTATTTGTATATAGTATATAATTTTTATATTTAAATAAATCAATTATAGATTTTAATTGATTTATTTATTTAGTTCAAAATATTTGTTGTTATTTTTTAGTACCAAAAGTTTATTTCAAATTAGTAAAATTTATTGATTCAATTTCATAAGATGTTAATGTAAAATAAGAAAATAAATGTAAAATATCAGTGCCATAGCCTCTATTCCGCTCACATGTTACATCCTATTTTTTCCAGACGGCAAAAAAACCATTCTGTATAAATATAGTTATTTGCGATACATATAATGGATAATTTTCTATGTCTAACAGACTTGTGCAGTCACAATCGAAGTTGGCAACTTCTGATTGACTCTCTGAAGCATCCAGGTACCTTAATCGGATCCAAAGCGAAAAATTACAGAACATGGAAGAATTATTCACAGGAAGAGAGAAAAGCCGTCACTTTCACTTTGGGAAAGTGTGACATTACTGCGTGAGTGATATGTTTTTAATGATTTACAAGGACAATTATTAATATTTACTAGCTATTTACAAAGAAATAACTTCCAATCATTTATTATTTATAGTAATTTAAAAATTATTTTAAAATACTGTATAATAGCGGCGGCGTAAGTATACATCCACTAACACATAAAATCGCGTGGGTGTCGAAAAAGGTGATAGAGGGAAACTGAAACAAAACAATATTCTTAGTAAAAAGATTAGTAGGCGACCTTGTTAACCTTATTGTGCCAGGGTTAGAAGGCAGCCTAGCAACCTTATTGTGCCAGGATTAGTAGGCGGCCTAGCAACTTTATTGTTCCAGGATTAGAAGGCAGTCTAGCAACCTTATTGTGCCAGGATTAGTAGGCGGCCTAGCAACTTTATTGTTCCAGGATTAGAAGGCAGCCTAGCAACCTTATTGTGCCAGGATTAGTAGGCGGCCTACCAACTTTATTGTTCCAGGATTAGAAGGCAGTCTAGCAACCTTATTGTGCCAGGATCAGTAGGCGGCCTAGCAACCTTATTGTGCCAGGATTAGAAGGCAGCCTAGCAACCTTATTGTGCCAGGATTAGTAGGCGGCCTTATTAACTTTATTCTGCCAGGATTAGTAGGCGGTCTTATCAACTTTATTGTGCCAGGATTAGTAGGCGGCCTAGAAACTTTATTGTTCCAGGATTAGAAGGCGGTCTAGCAACCTTATTGTGCCAGGATTAGTAGGCGGCCTTACTAACTTTATTGTCCAGGATTAGAAGGCGGCCTAGAAACCTTATTGTACCAGGATTAGTAGGCGGCCTACCAACTTTATTGTTCCAGGATTAGAAGGCAGCCTAGCAACCTTATTGTGCCAGGATTAGTAGGCGGCCTACCAACCTTATTGTTCCAGGATTAGAAGGCGGTCTTATTAACCTTATCGTGCCAGGATTAGAAGGCGGCCTACCAACTTTATTGTGCAAGAATTAGAAGGCAGCCTAGAAACCTTATTGTGCCTGGATTAGTAGGCGGCCTTACTAACCTTATTGTGCCAGGATTAGAAGGCAGCCTAGCAACCTTATTGTGCCAGGATTAGAAGGCAGCCTAGCAACCTTATTGTGCCAGGATTAGTAGGCGGCCTAGCAACCTTATTGTGCCAGGATTAGATGGCAGCCTAGCGACCTTATTGTGCCAGGATTAGTAGGCGGCCTTATTAACCTTATTGTACCAGGATTAGAAGGCGGCCTTAGCAACCTTATTGTACCAGGATTAGTAGGAGGCCTTAGTAACCTTTTTGTGCCAGGATTAGAAGGCGGCCTAGAAACCTTATTGTGCCAGGATTAGTAGGCGGCCTTATTAACCTATCGTGCCAGGATTAGAAGGCAGCCTAGCAACCTTATTGTGCCAGGATTAGTAGGCGGCCTAGCAACCCCTTATTGTGCCAGGATTAGAAGGCGGCCTTATCAACCCTATTGTGCCAGGATTAGAAGGCGGCCTAGCAACCTTATTGTACGAGGATTAGTAGGCAGCCTAGCAACCTTATTGTCCCAGGATTAGAAGGCAGCCTAGCAACCTTATTGTGTCAGGTTCAGTAGGCGGCCTAGCAACCTTATTGTGCCAGGATTAGAAGGCAGCCTAGCAACCTTATTGTGCCAGGATTAGTAGGCGGCCTTATTAACCTTATTCTGCCAGGATTAATAGGCGGCCTTATTAACTTTATTGTGCCAGGATTAGTAGGCGGCCTAGCAACGTTATTGTATCAGGATTAGTAGGCGGCCTAGCAACCTTATTGTGCCAGGATTAGTAGGCGGCCTTAGTAACCTTATTGTTCCAGGATTAGTAGGCGGCCTTATTAACCTTACTGTGCCAGGATTAGTAGGCGGCCTTAGCAACCCTATTGTGCCAGGATTAGAAGACAGCCTAGCAACCTTATTGTGCCAGGATTAGTAGGCGGCCTTATTAACCCTATTGTGCCAGGATTAGAAGGCAGCCTTATCAACCTTATCGTGCCAGGATTAGAAGGCAACCTAGCCACCTTATTGTGCAAGGATTAGTAGGCGGCCTAGACACCTTATTGTGCCAGGATTAGTAGGCGGCCTTATTAACCCTATTGTGTCAGGATTAGAAGGCAGCCTAGCAACCTTATTGTACGAGGATTAGAAGGCAGCCTAGCAACCTTATTGTGCAAGGATTAGTAGGCGGCCTAGATACCTTATTGTGCCAGGATTAGTAGGCTGCCTTATTAACCCTATTGTGCCAGGATTGGAAGGCAGCCTAGCAACCTTATGGTGCCAGGATTAGTAGGCGGCATTTTTAACCATATTGTGCCAGGATTAGTAGGCAGGCTAGCAACCGCAGTTTTCTTTACTGTGTTTTTATTAGGAACTGTTTTTGTTTCCGTCTGCCGCAGCCACAGAATAAATAATAGTGTCGCAGCTTACATACTACACCCTCGAGATGATATGCATTCTCTTACGGTGCCACTACGCAGTTACTAATACGTTTACTTTTGCGTGCAATTCTTATTTAACAATTTTTTATTTTTTTAGGGAACGTGGAAACTATTACTTGCTTACCAATGAAGAGCCCCCTTATGGACGAGGAGAACAAGGCTTATAACTTAGCTTGAGAGTGAAAATGATATTTTATTTCAAGTATTATTTAATTATATAATTTATTTTATTTTTTTTGAGGTTATAAGACTAATAATATCAAATTTTAAATAGTATTAATAAACGACTTTATACAAATAAATTGTGTGTGTTGTTTTTATACTGAAAGCTCTTTTCATTAAAATCCAAATTATGAATTAATTTTCTTAAAAAAGGCATGACTAGGCTGAAAGCTGGTATAAATCATTTCTTTTGAAGTATTGTATGGATATTTTCCATTCCAACCATTCGAGCACTTAAAAGTCTACTGAATTTTTTTGAATCGAATGCCAAATGTATTCGCAATAATTAATATCGACTCGGAGAAGTCATTATTTATTGTTGAAAACGGAAACTGCGCAGAATGGAATTGATAGAAATAGAAATTATATTAATTTCTCTTTCTACTCTATTACTTTGGATGAATTATTAATTACAAGCATAGTATTTTTTGTAGAAGAAGGGTTAGTGAGTATCAATAATTTGTCCAATATCCGGAACCAATAATGTCTGCATGTGAAAAAAGAAATAAAAGCAAATCACACCTAATTAATAACTATAACAAGTGATTTTTTTATTTTTTCTTCCGTTTTTTTTAATCATAATCTTGCATTGTGATCCGAATTTGAGCTATATTCAAAATGTCAAGTTTCCGGCAAGATAGTTTAAAATCAATGTATAAATTTCACCCGGATCGAAAACCGGACAGACAGACAAACAAGAAAGTAACTTAATAAAAACGTGGTAAAAATGAATGAAAAAGTATCCTCGATATATTATATTCTATCGTAATTATTAAACGCTAAGGATTAAAGAGAGATAATTCATATATTTTCTTATTTGTTTTAAGCTAATTTATTTCTTCCACAATTACGAAATAGACATTTATTATTTCACAAAAATAATAGTAAATTTGTGATCAGTATAAAGGTAAGAATATATGATTTCGTACCTATTTACTTTAGTTGTGTTTTATGTACACACTAGCTTGTTACCTAATTAGTGAATTTGTAGCTAAATAATATTTAAGACTTTAAAAAAAGCGTATAATCTAAAAGCATTTTTTAACTCAAAGGTAAAAATAAACAAATATAATTCCTGCTTTTACATCCCTTCAAGATTTATTCTGATTGTTTTTTTCACATATATCATATTAAAGTTCAACTCTATCTTTTAGTTTTTGTCAAATTCTTGGGTCACGCATGCTATGGATGAATAGCATTCACAAGTTCGTGACGTTTTTTGAAGAAACATGTTCTTGCCATAACTTTTTGATGTTCACTTCAATGAGCACACAGTCCACCTGATGATGGGCCATATACACCTACATCTATCCTCGATTAAGAATCAAAATGCAGATGCGTTGTCACACCTAAGAACTAAAATAGAGTGTTACCTTGTTACAAGTAAAAAGAGTCGCCTAGTCTGCCAAAGTTTAATTAAGTATGTTGTGTAAAGTACGTTACAGTATGTATAGTTTAAATTAACGAAATATTCTTTGTAAATCGAGGATAAAGATTCGATTATTAAAATTTACGAAATGTCACATTTCATAACACTTATTATTGAAATTAACCATAAAAGAATAAATTTCTGAATTTCAATCAATTCATCAAATTTGAATTAGAAGGTTATTCTAAAATTGAGATTGTTATATTTTAAAAATAACGAAAATGCTATAAGTTATTTTATAAAATTATAAAAATCGAAACGTTATATTCCATGACGATATTTATATCTGTTGTAAAACATTCTTAGTGTCACATTTTACCCTTTTAACTTTTTGAAAACTCTAGAAACGTATATCTTACAAACTGTAATGTCCAACATTTGTAGTCAAATCCCTTGGGCAGTGGTGAGCGGTTGAAGAAGACGTATCTAGATGTGTAAACAAACAGTTGAAAACTGTACGTGAATATGAACTCTGAATACTTTGAAAACAAGCAAAACGGTTTATATTAATAAGCATTTAAATGATCTTTTCCGTCATGATAAAAAACTTTTATTATTTTAACTTTTACCATTTATCCGTCTTACTACAAAACGTGCTTAATTGATAGTCTCACGTTTAAACTAAACCATAGTTAGTTTAAACTCGAGAAGAGAAAGAAAGTCTTAAGAAGGGTCTATTGGACTAAGAAAGTCCCTTAACCGCGGCGCCACAGTTCTTCCGTATTTAACATTTGCTGTCAAATTCGATACTTTTAATTAAAGTTTACACTTAGAGTAATAACATACATAGTATTATCACAGAATAAATAATAGTGCTACATACTTCTGAGAGTTTATACATTTCCGCGGACTTCTTTCGTCAAACAGATTATAGTTTGAACCTGGGACTTACTTAAAACTACTCACTTAATTATTAAAGTTTTTAAATATGTGACTTTATAAATTCAAAGAATAAAAAATATTTACCCAAACAAAGTAAAATATTTACTTTATTTTTATCTTTCCGGTTCTTCCGGTTTTGATACCTTCCGAAAATTATCGAAAGATTTTTTACTTACATAAGCAAGTTCGCCAAACAAACAAAAGAGTTTACTTGACGCTGTTTAAACTTAGTAGGTGCTGTGGCCTATAGAAACCTCCATTTATCCTCTGAATGCGGATGCGTTGTTACCCCTATAGTCTAAGGTGGAATTTCTTGTAATCAGTTAGAGGTCCGGTTCTCGTCGTCTATCTTACTGGACGCATTTCTACATTATTTTTCAATTTTGTTGGTATTTTGTGTGATTTTATTTTGTATTTTGTCCTACATAACAGAGTGTGTAAGAATATCTGCTACCCCAATCCATGCAGAGGGTCCCTTAAGAGGCTACAGAGGGAAACTGATGAATAATAATAATAATAATAATATGGACCCCATCACCATAACGCCAGAAGACGTGGCTGAGGCGGTCCGTAGGGCCCCGAACTGGAAAAGTCCGGGGCTCGACGGGCTGCATCATTACTGGCTGAAGGGGTTCATAGTGTGTCACGCTGTGCTCGCCCGACAGTTTCAAGAGGCTCTCGACCAGAAGTCACTCCCGAGCCTCTTCACTACTGGGATCACTCACTTGGTTCCTAAAGATCAGGATACCACAGACCCGAGCAAATACCGCCCCATCACGTGTCTACCCACCATATATAAGACACTGACATCCATTTTGAGCGCGAGGATCACTCGTCACCTGGAGCTAAACCAGGTGATGTCACACGCTCAAAATGGATATCGGAGCGGTGTTCGTGGAACTAAGGAACCACTCCTCATTGACGCGGTCATAGGCAAAGTGGTGAAACGCAACCGTCGGAACTGAGAACTCTGCCGCCTGGATAGACTACAGAAAGGCGTTCGACTCGGTGCCCCATACATGGCTAAAGAGGGTCCTCGAGTTGTACAAGATTGACTGTACAGTTAGAGACTTCCTCGAGCAGTGTATGGGGCAGTGGAGTACGATCCTTTGTCATCTGGGCGAGCGGATGACGGCTGCGGAGAACCACATAAGGATAAGAAGGGGTATCTTCCAGGGCGATTGTCTGAGTCCAATCTGGTTCTGCCTCTCTCTTAACCCTCTCAGTACCTTACTGGAGGGCTCCGGGAGGGGATTTCAGCTACGGAAAGGAGGAACAAAAGTGACCCACCTTTTCTATATGGATGACCTCAAGTTATTCGCCTCCAGTCGCTCCCATCTTATGGAACTGCTAAACATCACTTGTGAATTTAGCAGTTCCATTGGAATGGAGCTGGGGACGGATAAGTGTGCGGTCCTCCATGTTGAAAGGAGAAGGGTTGCTAACTCTGAGGGCATAGACTTGTCTATGCCCGTCAACTTAAGGACCCTTTCCGAGGCTGAAACATACCGATACCTGGGTATGTCACAGAACATCGGTATTGATGAGGCTGGTATGAAACAGTCAGTTTGCGACGTGTTTTATGCACGCTTGACCAAAGTGCCTAACAGCCTTTTGTCCGGTGTGAATAAGTCACACGCATATAACTGCTGGGTCATGCCTGTCCTCATGTATACCTTTGGCATACTCAGGTGGACTCAGACTGAGCTTAACGCCCTGGATAGAAAAGTCCGCACTACCATGACGTCCCATAGGATGCATCATCCGAGATCGTCGGTAATGAGGCTGTACTTGCAGCGAAAGCATGGTGGGAGTGGCTTTCTGAGCGCGCTCACCTTGCATAATCGCGAAGTGTGCAGCCTCCGTCAATACTTCCTGGCGAGATCGGATGATCCATTCTATAATGACGTCATTTCTAGTGATAAAGGGCTTACCCCTCCATCCTTAGCCAACGAGCAATGGCAGAACCCAGCAGTGCTTAGCATTTCCGACCGGGAGACCGTATGGAAGGAGAAGGAGCTCCACGGGAGGTACTACAGGGCTCTACATGAGCCCTTCGTAGATACAGTCGCCTCCCTCAACTGGCTACGTTTCGGTGATCTCTTCGGGGAAACCGAGGGTTTTGTCTGTGCAATACAGGATCAGGTTATTAAGACCAACAACTATCGGAGATACATCCTAAAGGATGGCACCGTCGACGTCTGTCGAGCTTGTCGCCATCCCGGGGAGTCACTCAGGCATGTCATCTCCGGTTGTTCGGCGCTTTCTAACTTTGAGTACTTGCACAGGCACAACCTAGTAGCCAGAATTCTACACCAGGAGCTCACTCTGAAATACGGTCTCGTGGACCGGAAATTGCCGTATACAATTATTTGCCGGAAGCCGTGCTCAAAAATGACCGCGCCAGGCTCTACTGGGACCGGGCCATCATCACAGACAGGACTATTCTTGCGAATAAGCCTGATATTGTGCTGATGGACCGGGCACAGTCAAGGATATTTTTGGTCGATATTACCATCCCGTATGACGAGAACCTCGTGAGAGCCGAAACAGATAAGCAATCAAAATATCTGGACCTGGCTCACGAGGTGACCGACATGTGGGGTGGTCTGCCGGCCGAAATTATTCCTGTAG